TATATATATATATATATATATATATATATATATATATATATATATATATATATATATGCATGAAGCAAATAAGTTGCAGTGGCCATAATTTCTGTTATTAAACCTTGTTAATTTATTCATGTTAATCATTAGGTGATTGTTAATCTGGCTAAAAAGACACACAAAGAAAATAGTTTTGTGATAAGAAAGAAGCTTTGTTGCAAATAAGGGACAGTGTATGTACTGCTCCGCACAGTACATTTTACAGAAGCGTATAGGATCTGTTTACCTGGTTGAAATTCAAATTGTTTTATTATGGTGTCAATTCTTTGGTTTTGGCAGCACTTCTAAAGTGTCTATACACAAAAGGACTACCACAGTGAATGAATGCTAGTGTTGACACCACCTAACAAGCAGGGATTATGTGTTTACAGAAGAAGTAATATGATAGGTCAAGTATAAGAGGCACTTCTCAAGAGCACTTCACCACATAATGAGTGACTGACTAGAAAGTGCGGAGCTGCCACTCTTTGGCTTCGTTTCGGTGTTGATGCCTGCCTCTTTCCTCCAAAGCCCTCTTGATCATGTTCAGCTGCTCTGTTCTCATGTGGTGAATAATAGTAGAGTAAAGCTGCTTTTCTGTCTCATTTTTCTTGCTAATTTACACATTCAAGCCATTTTTTGTTTGCTATCCTTATTTGCTATTCCCTTTTGTCAAGGCACTGTTCTCTTTTTTGCCTCAGGCCTAGGAACTAATTTGAGCTTCTATAATTACTTCATGTTTTACACCTGTCTGCATATCATGCACCCCTTGTCTCAAAAAAAAAAAAAAAAAAAAGAAGAAAAAAAAAAAGGGCTAGTTTTCATATACAAGGAATCCCCAAGTTTCTCCTCTGAGTCTTCCTACAGGAAGAAACACAATTAAACTGTTGAGATGTTCTCAGCAATGCAGCTGACCTTTTGGGTTCATGAAGGACAAATGAATGCTGTCTGTTCAGACAGTTTGTGTTAAGACATTGTTGAGCAAAGAGCCCTGAGCTTTGTTCCTCTTGAATGAAGCAATGGTTGTAGTCATTTTAAAATCATTAAGAGCCTGAATGCACGGTATCATTCTACAGTGTTTGCTCTACAGCTGCTCTTCTGCTTTAATAGCAGCTTATTAAATTTGGGTCAAGCGCACTCTGAAGAGTATCACAATGAAGAAACTGTTCAAAAAGTTACCTGTTTAAAAAAAAGGCAATTGATTAGATTTTTAACTTAAGTGACAGCTGCAATTCATTGCCTGTTCTTTGTGGTGTCCTGCAGCCAGAGTGGAAGCCTTTTGTAATTTGGTCTTCATTTTGTAAAAGCTTTCTTGAATAATCCAGGGTTGCTTTCCACTCTGAGACCGCCTCAATCCAATTAGGAGTTTAACAAGGGTCAAATTAAGGAGACTTTACACTTCATGTTTGCATCATTAGCCATAAGACTGTTTTGTGTGTGCACGACTGTGTGTCGAGGGAGGAGGGGAGGCTGCAAGATGGGGCAGACACAAAGCTGTCATCCACCATGTGGTGCATCCCGTCGCTGAATGGAGGCACAGCAGGCTAGGAACAACATTTCCAGTTGTCTTTTGGGGCTGTCGTCATGTGGATTTCAGCTGGTACATAGTTGTTTGGAGGTTACAGGTGCTGGCTAGAACTGAGGAAGAAGAGTGCACTCTGTGCCTAGTCTTTTCTCTCCTGGTAGCCTATTGTTATCGGACAAATGACTGGGAAGAGATGAAGTTAGAAATCTCTTGAGCATTCATTATTTTTGATGAGATGACAACTACCCCAGTTTCGTGTTCTCACTACTCATGCTGTTTCCTGTTATTTTTTGAAAACGTAATTTTTCTGTGTGTTAAGTGTATTGTACAGTGTGAACTTTTTAAATACAAGTAGTTTGTTAGCAGGCTTTCGATAATCAGATGTGCATATGGAAGACTCCAAACATGCAGTCATATTTTCTACAATAACAAGTAATCTTCTAAAAACGGCACCAGTTTTACTTATACAGTTTTCAAGTACAACTACATTTTCCTAATGAATTATTTATAGAAGTTGTTGAAAATTAGAGAGAAAACCATAAGACCCTCTTTTCTGTGTAAGATTCTTCTTAATGACAAGCAAAATTCTCCTGCTACTCAGTGTTTAGATGTGTGGGATATTGCTGGAGAACTGTTGCAGTGTCTCTTTAGCAAATGCTTTGTGCTGCT